CCCCCCTCCCTGGATCCCTTCCAGTTTGCGTATCGGCCCAACCGCTCAACCGATGATGCCATCTCCACTGCACTCCACTCAGCACTCACACACCTGGACAAAAAAGACTCATATGTTCGAATGCTGTTCATAGATTTCAGTTCAGCATTCAACACTATAATCCCCCAACAGCTCACTCAAAAACTGGTCCAGCTGGGGCTCAACACCTCACTGTGCAACTGGCTGTTGGATTTCCTCACGGGAAGACCTCAAGCAGTACGGGTTGGCAGTAATACATCCAGCACCATCATTTTAAACACGGGGGCCCCGCAGGGATGTGTGCTGAGCCCCCTCCTCTTCACTCTGCTGACCCATGACTGCACTCCATCATATAGCTCCAACCTCTTCATCAAGTTTGCGGACGACACAACGGTGGTGGGTCTCATTAGCAACAGGGATGAGACCGACTACAGAAGTGAGGTGAGACGCCTGGCCACGTGGTGTGTTGACAACAATCTCTCTCTGAATGTGGAGAAGACGAAGGAGATTGTTGTGGACTTCAGGAGAATGCACACCCAACATGCTCCTCTGACCATTGACGGAGCGTCTGTGGAGAGAGTGAGCAGCACCAAGTTCTTGGGTGTGCACATCACAGAGGATCTCTCCTGGACATACAACACCACAGCACTGGCCAAGAAATCACAGCAGCGTCTCTTCTTTCTCCGCAAACTAAGAAGAACAGGAGCACCAGCCCCCATCATGCACACTTTCTACAGAGGCACCATCGAGAGCATCCTGTCGAGCTGCATCACTGTGTGGTTTGGAGCCTGCAATGCGTCCTGTCATAGAACCCTCCAACGCATAGTGAGGGCTGCAGAGAGGATCATTGGTGTCTCTCTCCCCTCCCTCCAGGACATTTACAGCACCCGTCTCACTAAAAAAGCCCTTTGCATAGCGGCTGATCCCACGCACCCAATGCAAAGCTTCTTCAAGCTGCTGCCGTCAGGGAGGAGACTGCGGAGTCTCCAGGCCAGGACCAGCAGACTGAAGGACAGCTTCATCCATCAGGCTGTCAGGAAGCTTAACTCCCTTCCGATTCTGCCCCCTCTCCCCTCTTCTCCTCCATGGTCTCACTGAACTCTGTCTCACACACACACACACACACACACACACACACACACACACACTCTCTGACTCACTCACTGGCCTGCACCAGTTACCAGTCACTTTGTGGAGCATTGGACTGCCATTACCTCATAAGACTTTGTTGTTACACTATCTCTTACCGTATATTACTAAATCTCCATTTGCACTATTTGCCTATTTGCACTACTCTGCCTGGTTTACACTCAATGTCATTTACCCTTACTTGAATATTGTATATTGTATATTGCATAGCTTTCTTGTTATACGTAAAATTGTATTGTATTTATTTAAATTTTTACTTTTTAATTATTTTATTTGCATTTTTTAATCACTCTCTTATATTTAAATGTTCATTTGCTATTTCATCTAGGGTTTGAGAGTAACGAAATTTCTATTCTCTGTATGTCCTGTACATGTGGCAGAATTGACAAATAAAGTTGACTTGACTTGACTTGAAGAGCAAAACCAAGCACATTTTTAGTTTTAAGATACAAAAAAGCTCACCTTCCCCCTCATTGTTGAATCCGTAGGCTTTGATAACCTCTTGTTGAATTTGGGTGGCCACAGGGAGCACAAGCTGCAGCATCTTGCCCATGTCGTTGCAGGCGCTCTCTCTGGCCTCCTCCATCCGTGCGGCATTCTCCGGTACTGAGAATGCCTGGATCACCTCGCTCAAAACCACTGTGAAAAAAAAGCTTTTTTAGTAGCTGCTCCACAAAGTAAAAAAAACCCAACCTTTTCCTGACATTGCTGCACATTTTAGAAGAAATTATCAACTTAATTAATCTCAGCTCTGCTTTTCGCAGGTGATGTGGTTCTGTTGGCTCGCACTGGAACAGTTTGCAGCCGAGTGTGAAGCGGTGGGAATGAGATTCAGCACCCTAAATTTTGAGGCCATGGTCCTCAGCTGGAAAAGGGTAGAGTGCCCACTCCAGGTCAGGGATGAGTGGAGGAGTTTAAGTATCTCTGGGTCTTGTTCACGCGTGAAGGGAGAAGGGAGCGGGAGATCGACAGACGGATTGGTGCAGTGATGCAGACGCTGTAGCAGTCCATTGTGGTGAAGAGAGCTGAGTGTAAAAGTGATGCTCCTAATTTACTGGTCGATCTACGTCCCTACCCTCATCTATGGTCACGAGCTTTGGGTAGTGACCTAAAGAACAAGATTGCAGATACAAAGATACAAGTGGCAGAAATGGGTTTCCTCCAAAGGGTGGCTAGCCTCTCCCTTAGTGATAGGGTGAGGAGCTCGGCCATCTGGGAGGGGCTCACAGTAGAGACGCTGCTCCTCCACATTGAAAGAGCCAGTTGAGGTGGTTCGGGCATCTGACAAGGATGCCTCCTGAGCTCCTCGTGGGTGTTCTGAGCATGTCTCACCGGGAGGAGGTCCCGGGGCAGACCCAGGGCGCGCTGGAGAGATTATATGTCTCAGCTGGCCTGGTTTGGTGTTCCTCTGGATAAGCTGGAGGTGGTGGCCGGGGATAGCTAGGTCTGGGCTTCTCTGCTTGGGCTGCTGCCCCGCAGGTCCCGGATAAGCAGAAGAAGAAGGATGGATGGCAGTACAGTAACTAATCTGGAGCCTGAAAATCACCATCACTAATTCTTCTCCTTACTTTTCATGAACAAAGAAAGTGCACCCCATCCAACTCCAGGGCCCTATACTACAAAAAAAGTTCACAACACCCAGGCTATTTTACCGTTATCTAGATTCTCTTATGCTAACACTGGCGATCAGGATAAAAGGTCACACGAAGCTGGTTATCAGCTCAATAAGTTAACCCAGGGTTTCTCTTGTGCGTTAACACAAGAAGGGTGGTATTGGCTGCATCTAACCAATCTAAAAGAGGCATTTCACGGATCATATGACTCTTCTTCCACACAAAATGATCCCTATGAGAGTCACCTAATCCAGAAACTATCAATGCGTGATTAAAAGTCTAGGATGAAAGCTTTAGATTTCGGACACAAAACAGTAAAATAAATATTTTCATTCCAGTTGATTATTTTAACACTGAGTGCGCTCTCAGTCCTGCTGTTTATTTCTAAGGTGATGGCTGTGCATTAGAGCTCTGAAACTTTAAACTGGATCCATTTGAATATTAAAGCTTACTGTCCCACAGCTTAATACTATTATTAATAATATTATTCTGAATAAAGGAGATGTTTACATTGCCATAGTTTATTGCAGATAAAAGTTAAAACCATATTACTGATTGAACAGGCATTCTTTGTGTGTCCTGTGTTCTAGTAGCTGTAATACCACCAGAGTAAAAGATTAGAATTAAGCATAACAGCATTTTATACATTTTCTAAATCACCAAGTTAATCATGCACATTGCCGTTATAATATGACTCACAGGTTGTGCTTCATTCAGTGGTTTTACTAAGGTACACATTAATAAGCTGCACACACAAGCATAGACCAGCATACAATCTATGTTGCAATTAAAACGTGCTGTGAATAAAAGGATCAGTGAATCACGCCGCTTCCAGTTGATTTTAAACTTAAACTCAGAACATAACCCGCTCTTAAAAATGTAAGTTTTTGGTCTCTCAGCTGCAGACTCAGTGCTGTTTAAGGGCTTGAAAGTAAATATTAAATATAAAAACAGAATTCAAACACAGGATTACTACAAATTTGATATGAGGTCATTAAGGACAGTGTAGCCGTCCTGTTTTAGGTTTATATATTACTACTTATTTTATATTACTATTTATTACTCATAAAACAAAAAGCTGTTGTAAAATTGTTTGCTGCCAACACAGAAAACAAGGAATAAGTTGTGTCTAAAAATCTGTATTTATTACTGATGCTCATCAGGGAAACACAGAAACTTTACATCCTACAACTCTCCCCACAGAGTTCTCCCGGGTCTTCCAGGTTAAGTCTACAGCATAAATTACCGTGATGACTTACCTCGGTAAAAAGTGAACCACCTATGTAGTACAGAAAACCTAGGGTTAACCCTGAAGCTACCTGGATAATCCAAAATCCTGCTGACAAGTACAGGTCTCGGTCTTACAAATGCAACGTACGAGTACTTGCCCAGTATTTATTCAGCAACAATATGGACCACCTGGGGAAGAGTAAACAAGTAGAAACGGGAGCTTTTATATATATATAAACCAGCTGTTCCTCTCACCTCTGGTCTGCTCAACTGTCAGAGTGGGCTGCTGTGCTGGAGCTGTGGCCATGTCTGCAGAGAAAACAGAAAGCCACGAAAAAAATAAAGCTACTGTAGACGCACTGATGTAGACAAAATTAAAAACATTTACATTTTGTAATAATAAAAGTAGGAAAATTAAAGGAAGATCGAGGTAGCTTCAAGAATATGAAGCATCTTTGTTTTATTGAAATATATTTTAATGTATAACATAATGATAACTGTTAGCTTGATAAACCAATAAAAAAAATATAGAAACCGCAATAATAGCGCAACGACACGTATATATAAAGGAGACGTGGTGGTTATGTGGTGATTAGCATCTGTCTCCGATCGTTCATTCAGTAGCTTCAGTAGCTTAAAATTTGACGGTTATCAACAGCAACAGCAGCTAAAAATCCATTTATTTATTTACCAAACTAAATGAACATAAAACAGTATAACATTTGGGGAACTCACCTCTACTGAAAACAATCACTAAGCTAGCAACAGAACTGTGAAACTGTCGTAAAACGGGGACTGTTGGAGGCTTCTTGCGACACACCATCCTGCTTTCAGGTAGACGTCGACGTAAAATGTAAACATACCTGTTACTAAGCTAGTAGCAAGTCATCAAACTTAGACTGAAAGTTCGTGTGTGCGAGAGAGATTTACTGTGCTTCGAAGGGCTTATAACTTTAACGTAAGCTTATAGAAGTTGTGAATGAGTTGCTGTCGGTTCTTAATTATCCATGGAGCAAAAGCTGGCAGAGTTCAGAGCCAGACGACAGGCTGAAAAAGCTGCTCAGAAGAGTGAGACTACTGGTTCACAATCCAGAGGGGAGACAGCAGCAGACACCGCTGCTCAGTGTGATAAAACACCCACAGCTGACAGTCTGCAGCCTGAAGACAGGGCACGAAACAACCAGACTGCGACCGACGGCTCTCAAAGCAGCGTAAGAGATAATTTCAATCGGGAAGCTCATGAACTTCCCGATTTAGCTTGTTATTTTAAAGATCGGACTGTGCGTGATAAATAGAGTGCTTCGTCTGCTTTGCACTAATAGTATTGTTTTACAATTGGCAATAATTTAAAAAAGCACACTCACGAACAATGACAAAGTAAACCATCAAATATAACAGTAAACAAACGCACAGACCACATCATTAGTTACACCTGCTAAAAGTGATTTCCATCGTTTCTATTTTTTCATATCTAATATATTTGCCCACACTGGTAAATAGGCTGTAGTCAACAGGATTTACGAAGGGTTTACATATAAAATAAAGAGTTAAATAAAGAAAATGAATTTAAGGTATTTCCATGACGTTATTTCACCTACCCTGTTTTCTACATTGGCCATTTAAAATATCTTCTAATGTTATTGGGGTGTTTTGTTTTGCTTTGTTTTTTACTCAAAATTACTTGATATAATTCACAAAAAGATATGTTTTAGATACTTTTGACAGATTATAGGCCAACAGTATTTACAACAGTGTAAAATAAGCAGTCCTTTTTTTGTCAAGTACCAGAATACACCTTCTGGTATTTCGTTTGAAATCAGGTTGGACCTCCTTTAGCCACCAGAACTGCCTATATTATTTGTGGGATAGATTTAACAAGTTGCTGGAAACAAACAAAATCGCAGAGGTGCTCTATTGGATTGAGGTCTCATAACTGTGGAGGCCATTCGAGGACAGTGAACTCATTGTCTTGTTAACAAACCAGTTTGAGATGATTTGTGGTTGTGACATGTTACCCTGCTGGATAGAGCCATTAGAAGATAGGTAAACTGTGGTCATAAAGGTATGCACTTCTGGGTACCTTGGTTGTAACGATTGGTTGAGTTACTGTTGCCAAAAAAGTGTTGGCTTTTGATGGGATTATCTACAAGAGAACTGCTACCCACTGGATATTTTTTCTTTTTTGAACCATTCTCTCTAAAGATTAGAAATAAATGCCTTTGTGGGAAAAATAATAAAGTAGCTGTATTGATTGCGATGTATTGATTTGGAGATCCAAGCTATTTTTTGTAAGCTCATATTTTTTCTCAGCAGCCAAGGAATACTCACTGTACTGTATATGTTCATTTAATCCCCACTAAGTCATGTACAATTTGTTTCTAAGAAAACTGACATCCTATTGTTTATTTATTTTATCCAGTTTGGTGTATTTGTAGCATCACATGTTTTTATTCTTCTCTTCTTCTTTTTCTGTTGTGTATTCACTATAGGATCGTGGAGACTGGCTGCTGGATAGCGCTCTGGGAAAGTGGCTGGCTTCCCGACAGTTTGTCATTTCTAACATCACTTTACTAAAAGTGCTGCTATGGCTGGTTCTGCTGGGTCTGTTTGCCGAACTGGAGTTTGGTCTCCCCTTTTTTGTCATCTCTCTTTTCTACTGGCTCTATGAAGGACTCCGGAGCCCAGCGCCGCGCAAGCCTGGTGAACTGAGTGCTTATTCAGTGTTCAATCCAGACTGTCAACCTCTGCTGGGTGCTCTAACCGCAGAGCAGCTAGAGGGAGAGATGGGCTACAGACCTCTGGCAAACAGATGACTTGCCTGTGATATGCACATTGACATCAAATATTTAAATTTTCATCTGAAAAATGTTAACTTTTCTCCCATTTTTTTAGTTGCTGCTTCTGTATGCCACATTAAAATGTAACTGGTCAGCCAAAAGTTTTATTTCTGTTTCTACTGTAAACTATTTTGATAGTGTACATCAGTCATATATAATGGCTAAATCATGATGGTGGGTTGGCATGTCTGTAATACAAGTTTTTTTTTTCATTTAAACATGGATGTACTCCTAATTCTCTGATCAATGTGAGTTTATTTGAAAATACAGAAGCCATATTGAGGATTAAAGAAAAAAAAAAAACGGCCTCTACTGAGTCAAATGAACTGATTTTAATTTAACTCAGTAAATGGCTATTTTATTTTATTTTAGGTTTACATCTTAATTTCTTAACTTTACATCTTTGTGTTTTTTCTTTAGCTACTAGAGTAGCTCAAAATAATCTGTTGTATTCTAGGCCTTTAAGCGACCTTACTGCTGATTGGTTGCTCCTGTCAAACAGATGATTGAAAAAGCATGTGGGCACTCACTAGAGATGACCAAGTATGTGGTCTTATTGATATCACACAGGGTCAAGTGTACAACAAGTGCTGAAACCCTGCATTTAAAGCAGCAGCTTTTGGTTCTCAATGATTATTTGTGCAGACACATGAACATCCACTACTGTAATGCTGCATATGACAGAAAATTAGAAGGAGGGAAAAAAAGTACAGATGTCCGATAACAAATTGTGTTTGCGATTCACGAAGTGGAGTTCTAAAATGCAAAACACAGCTTTCTCACTGAAAACAGAATTACGGTCAAGAAAACTGAATGTTAAATAAAATTTAAACAAAAAACTGTACGGCTGTCCTTCCTTTCCTCCCCTTCGACGAAACCGGCGGGCACTTTGACCCGTCACATCTGTCATTACAGAGAAAACGTGTTTCATGAGCAAAAGCGAAATGGTTCACCTCCACATTCCGGTACTTCCGTAACGGTTTTACATTGTGATTAGACCAGTTTTAAGCAAAATTTAACGTTGTTTTGCGTAATACAAATTCGAATTACTTAAACACATTCATATATGAGAGATAATCGCTGTATTTTAATCCGTGTCGGCATTCTTATTATTTGTTGACGGGTTCATTCTGAAACGTTGCTGAGAGTTTGTCTTTTGGGCGAGGGGGTACATATCTTGTGGGGATAAAAGGTCTACCACTTCCTGCATCTCCCTTCTTCACAATCTCCAGGTGCAGTCCAGGAAAACTGTGGCTATTGCACAGCGTTAGCATCAGTAAGTACTCATCAAAGTTAAGAGGATATATTTTTTAATATTCTTCATTTTAGATTTTTAGTCACCTAGCTTTGAGCTATAGCATGGTGGCTAATTAGCCTTAACTGCACGAGCTTACTTAGAATTCCGTTTACACCCGACTTTTAGTTACTTAGCTAAACTAATCACTCTAAAATGCAAAGTTAACTACTTAATATTTAAGCTACGAAGCTGGTTATCGAAAGACGGCATTCACTGAGTTTTAAACTATCAATGTTAGGCTGTTATTAAGTACATTTAGTACTGTACTTACTAAAATGCAATCTTAACATACTTAAACTTTACTCTTGTCTATTTGTGAGACCTTATACCTGTACTGCACTATATTTCAGCGAGTAATGTTTATGTTTGTGTAACAGTTTAATTACTTTACAAATTTATGCATATGAGTACAAGGTATACTAGAAATTATTGATTTACACAGTAAAGTACAGCTGAATGATTAGTCAATTAATCAGCTGCTGCACCCACAGCATAACCTATGCCACAGATGACCATATTCGGGATATCCACATCCTTTAGCATTATAGGGAGTGGAGAGTTGAAAGACCTGCTTGAGTAGTTGTTTTTAGACCAGTCTGACCTGTGTGTGTATGTATATCTATCTATCTATCTATCTATCTATCTATCTATCTATCTATCTATCTATCTATCTATCTATATCACATTAAAGTGACATTTTCGACTTGTAGCACTTTGCTAAAAAATATTGGCAGATGATGGCACTAGTGTTGTTGTGAATTAATGGGACAACTGCCTTTAGCTAAATATTTTCATTTGAATGTGTAAATCTTATTAAAATAACCTAAAAATATTTTTTGATGTACATTAAGATAAGAAAAATGTACAACAAAAAGAAGCTACTATTATTTTTCTGATATTAGTGTGTTGTGATCAGCTTAACTTCGTCATTAACTCTTGTAGCTGCAGTATCCTATGTATTCTTTTAATTTAACTGGGGGATTGTAAAAGCTATTTGCTTCTCCAGAGTATTTGGTATTTTTCAGCTATTTTTTAAGGAATAAATCCAAAAAGGAATTATTTTTTTGTTAATTTTAAGGCAAGGCAAGGCAAGTTTATTTGTATAGCACAATTCAACAACAAGGTGATTCAAAGTGCTTTACAGAGACATTAGAAACAAGAACAAATAAAAAGCATGATTTAAAATTGATTAAAACAAGCAAATAAACTAACTAACTAATTAACAAACAAACAAACAAACAAACAAACAAACAAACAAAACAGTATATAAAATCAAAACAGATAAAATCAGAACAGTAGATAAAATCAGTAGTTAAATGTAAGTTTTGAAATTTAAGCTTAAAGTGTGGATTTGGTGCTTTATTCAAATGCAGCTGAGAACAGGTGAGTCTTCAACCTGGATTTAAATAAACTGAGTGTTTCAGCTGATCTGAGGCTTTCTGGGAGTTTGTTCCAGATATAAGGAGCATAAAAGCTGAATGCAGCTTCTCCGTGTCTGGTTCTGACTCTGGGAACTGATAAAAGACCGGATCCAGATGACCTGAGGGATCTGGAAGGTTCATACTGGGTCAGGAGGTCATTGATGTATTTTGGTCCTAAACCATTCAGAGCTTTATAGGCCAGCATCAGAACTTTAAAGTCTATCCTCTGACGGACAGGCAGCCAGTGTAAGGACCTCAGAGCTGGACTGATGTGGTCCACTTTTTTGGTCTTAGTGAGGACTCGAGCAGCAGAGTTCTGAATGAGCTGTAGTTGTCTGACTGATTTTTTAGGTAGACCTGTAAAGATGCTGTTACAGTAATCAAGCCTACTAAAGATGAATGCATGGACTAGTTTTTCCAGGTCCTGTTGAGACATCAGATCTTTTATCCTTGATATATTCTTGAGGTGATAGTAAGCTGACTTTGTTATTGTCTTAATGTGTTTTTCTAAGTTTAGGTCTACATCCATCACTACACCCAAATTTCTCGCCTGGTTTGTGGTTTTTAGATGTATAGATTGAAGTTCTCTGGTGACCTGTAATCGTTTTTCTTTGGCGCCAAAGACTATTACCTCAGTTTTGTTTTTGTTTAGCTGGAGAAAATTGTGGCACAACCAGTCATTGATTTCCTCAATGCATTTACCAAGAGCCTGTACAGGGCCTCGGTCTCCTGGTGACATTGTGATATATATTTGTGTGTCATCTGCATAGCTGTGATAGTTTATTTTGTTGTTGTTTATAATCTGTGCCAGTGGGAGCATGTAGATGTTAAACAGAAGGGGTCCCAAGATGGAACCTTGGGGAACTCCACATGTGATACTTGTCTGCTCAGATGTGAAGTTACCTATTGATACAAAGTATTTCCTGTTTTCTACGTATGTTTTGAACCAGTTTAGTACAGTTCCTGAAAGACCTGTCTAGTTCTCCAGTCGTTTGAGTAATATGTTATGGTCAACTGTATCAAATGCTGCACTGAGATCCAGTAAAACTAGGACTGACATTTTTCCACTGTCTGTATTCAGACATATGTCATTAAACACTTTGGTCAGAGCGGTTTCAGTGCTGTGGTTCTGTCTAAAACCTGACTGGAAGGCATCGTAGCAATTATTCTGTTTTAAGAAGTAACTGAGCTGTTGAGAAACTGCTTTTTCAATGATCTTACTTAAAAATGGGAGATTTGAGATCGGCCTGTAGTTGTTCATTTGTGTCTTGTCAAGATTGTCCTTTTTCAGTATAGGTTTGATTACAGCAGTTTTTAGTGATTCTGGAAACACACCTGATAATAAAGAAAAGTTGACGATCTGTAACAGGTCTGACTCTAAAGTCTTTGAGACCTTTTTGAAAAAACTTGTTGGCAGGACATCTAAACAGCAGGAGGAGGAGTTCAGTTGACCTAAGATGTCCTCCAGGTCTTTGCTGTTAATAGGTTGAAACTGTTTCATGGTGTTTAAACAGTTTTTTGGTGGACACAGTACATATCCTGGATCTGCTGTTGATGTACCAATTGCTTGTCTAATTTTTTGGATTTTTTCAGTGAAGAATTTGGCAAAGTCATTGCAGGCCATGGTCGAATGAAGTTCAGCTGCCACTGACACAGGAGGGTTTGTTAGCCTGTCAACTGTAGAAAATAAGACCCGAGCATTATGGCTGTTTTTAGTGATGATGTCAGAGAAGTAGGACCTCCTTGCATTCCTCAGTTGTAAATTATAATTGTGAAGTTTCTCTTTATAAATGTCATAATGAACCTGGAGGTTTGTTTTTCTCCATCTGCGCTCAGCTTTCCTACACTCTCTTTTTTCTTTTTTCACCAGTGTGGAGTTTCCTTCCAGAGATAACCTTCACCTTAATGGGAGCAATAGTGTCCATTACATTTAACATGTTAGCATTGAAGCTATTGACGAGCTCATTGACTGACCCTCTGGGCAGGTCAGGTGTTAATGGGAAGACCTGGTTAAAAATTGCACTACTGTGTTCAGTTATACACCGTTTTGTGATCACTGTTGTTGATATATTTGTGTGGGCTGAGATTTTACTTTCAAAGAAAACACAGTAATGATCAGACAGGCCCACATCAGACACAGTAACCTTTGAAATGCTCAGGCTCTTGGAGATCAGTAGGTCAAGAGTGTGTCCTCTATTATGTGTGGCCTCTGTTACATGCTGAGTCAGCCCAAAGTTGCCCAGAGTGTTACTCAGGTCTTTAGTCCCTTTGTCCTGAGGGTTGTCCACATGAATGTTAAAATCCCCAGCAATAATTACACAGTCAAAATCAACACAGATCACAGACAGCAGTTCACTGAGGTCATTAAAAAAGTCTGTGCAGTATTTGGGAGGCCTGTAAACATTAAGAAACACAACTTTGGATGGGGCCTTCAGCTGTAAAGCCACATATTCAAAAGACTGAAAACTTCCAGGAGATAGCTGCTTACATTGAAATGATTCATTAAATAAGACAGCAACCCCTCCTCCTCTCCTGCTCGCCCTGACCTCACTGATAAAACTGTAGTTAGGAGGGGTCGTCTCGATGAGAACAGCTCCACTGTTACTTTGGTCCAACCAAGTTTCAGTTAAAAACATAAAATCAAGGCTGTGCTCAGTGATTAAATCATTAATTAAAAATGTTTTCCCTGCTAGAGATCTAATGTTTAATAAAGCCAACTTAAGTGTTTTAGAGGTATTACTTGTCCCCTCGTGTTTGGGAGCAGTCTGTGGCACACAAGGTATGTTTACTATGTTTAAAGATCTTTTAGAGTGCAGCTCTCTGTGTTTTGACCAGGCCACATGTCTCCTGTCACCTAAAAGTACAGAAATTTTAAAACCTTCTAGTAAACAGGGTCCCAGCTTCTCCTGGGAAAAGTCATCACTGCCATAATCCTCACAGCCCGGACCCTTCACACATCACGCATCAGACTGCGGAGACAGGGCATGAAGAGGAACTAAGGGGGGCGAGGCTGGGCAATGTGACTTCGATTGCTCTGTTGAGGGTGGGGCTCGATGGCGAACCTTTGGCCGCTCTGGTGGGAGGTTTATGGGGGACAAAAAGGGATTGGGACGGGGGGTAGATCTGAGCCCAGCATTGACCCGCTCCATCATCTCCTCAGTGAATTTCAGGTGTGGGGAGGAGGAGAAAGGGAGGGGGAGGAGGGTGATGGCCTGTCAGGGGTTTGGGGGACTGGGGAAGGTCGTGGTCCCTTGTCCTGGTCGTTGGTGTTGTTGAGAGAGTTGGAGGCAAATAGGGACCCCTCTTCTTGCCTTAGATGTCTCTCCTTTCTGAGGCTCTTCCCGGGTGGGGGCAAATGGAGCTCCTCCTCAAGGTTTCTGCTGGGCTTTGTCTGTTCTTGGAGTACTGTTTGTTCCTCTTTATGAGATAACTCCTCGTTTATCTCAGCCTTGGCACCAAGCACGGATGGATGACGTATGGAATAAAACAAGTTGGAGGTGAACAGTTTCACCCCTGACTTGTTAAAATTAAATCCATTTGCTTTGAACAGATGCCTGCGTTCCCAAAAAATATTAAAGTTGTCGATAAAGTGCACTGAGTGGTCAGCACATGCTGATATAAGCCATTTATTCAGTGTAAACAACCTGCTGAATCTCTCGTCTCCTCCTCTGACCGGCGGTACAGGTCCACTGATGAATACAGCTGCATTCAGAGAGTTTACAGTATTTAATAATCCAGTAAAGTCCAGTTTCAGAACCTCCGACTGTTGTTTGGACACATCGTTTGACCCTGTATGCAGAACAATGTTTGTCACAGTTGGATATTCATCTGCAATTTGAAGAATTCTCTCCTTCAGGTTGTTGACCATATCGTTAGGAAAGCAGAGGACTTTAGTGTTCTTACCGCACATCCTTTGTGGGTGACTCTGCCGTAAAGGATGTACAATCAGAGTTTCAGGCCTAGCCTTTAGCTTTCCCTGTGGCCTTTCACTTTTCAACAGATTTTCAGACCTTATTTCGCTGCTTTTAGATGGATGGTTGTCCGATATAGATCCAGGGTCCTTTGATAGTGGAGCAAATCTGTTCTGCAGTTTCACATTCAGTTGTTTTGGAGATTTGTTGTTAACCTTCCTATTCACGGTTGTCCAGTCCTGTTTCCTCCCGTATATAGGGGTAGAAGAGCTTCTCTGTCAGATAACAATAAGGGTCATCATTGTTATCTTTTATTTAAGATATTATATTTATCAACTGGAGTACTATGCATTTGAGTTTTTAAACCTGGCTATAGCAGATTGGCATAATGAACAAAATCACTCCTAGTTTTATGAGTTTTACTTTCTTCTGCCCTACACCAACCAGAAAGCAATGCCTGGAAGTCCTGCTGTTGTTATGCGACTGGTGGCCTCAGCCTATGCTGTGGCTGAAAAGGCTGGGACCATTGTACGGAAGGTCCTTCACAGTGGAGAACTTGGTATTGTGGAAAAGGTATGACCCCACTATGTGCATTTTGTGGTTTAACAACACTAGCTGCACTCATGGTTAAACATATAAGTTTAACATTTCTGTTTCTACTTTTGCACAGACAGGCGCTAATGATCTGCAAACACTGGCAGACAGACTAGCACAGCAGAGCATTTGTGCTTCACTGTCCAAACGTTTCCCCAAAATCACCATAATTGGAGAGGAGGTAAGTGTCAACAATATTTAGCCAAATTATTTGCTGTGGATACCTAGACCTAAAAACATCCTCGTATTATGACAAAGCTCATGAATATTTATATACTTTGTTCAGGATCTTCCTTCTGAAGTGATACAGGAAGATCTAATTGAGACTGGCCAGTCAGAGGAAATTCTTCAGAGAAGTTGTCCACCTGAGTACAGCCAGCTGAAAGAAGAAGAGGTAATCACATGTGGGTTTAGTTTCAGAGGTTTAGCACCTGAATAAAAAAGTATTTTCTGCTATTACAAATCAGTGTTGTACAGTTGTTGCTTGGACACTGTTTACCTCCTACGGTGTATACGTACTTGTTCTGAATGTGTCTATCTGAATTTCAGATAGTTGTGTGGGTAGATCCTCTTGATGGCACAAAGGAATATACTGAAGGTATGCTCTTCTGAAGCATGTCTTAAAAATCTCCTCCCATCTCTGTGTATTCAGCTGCATAAAGCTCTCTGTGCACAAGCCTGCTTGGTTGCTTTCTGGTTCTCAGCTCTCAGAACTTCACTGCTACTTTTTTTGCCTCTTCTTTGTTCATCCCTGCTCCTGCTTATCCACCTGTCCGCTGTCTTTCTGCTGACCCTAGCATCGAGGTGTTTCCATTTCCAAGCTGTGGCCCAGGCACCACACAAAGGGTTGGACACCCCTCAGCCTCACAGCACAGCTCTCTGTATGGGAAGGCAACGGTTAAGCCGGGCCTTGCAGAATATTAATTATTATGGCCACACTAGAAATATTTATGAGTGAAAGTGCAGTAATGTCGTTTAGTGGCTTCCAGCTAACATCCTGCTGCTTCCTGACTTCAGGGCTCCTGGATAATGTGACAGTGCTCATTGGGATTGCATATGGAGGCAAAGCCATCGCAGGCGTGATCAACCAGCCGTTCTACAACTACCAGGTACAAGCCAAATCAAAACTGTGTTCAAACTGTCTAACAGCTTTGCTATATAGTGTGTCGGCTATTTTGTAGTACTTTTTGTAAACATCATTCACCTTATAGTACACAACAAAATCATCAGAAGACGCACTAAAAACAGCGCACAAAAGCTGCACAGATGAAAGAGTCACCAGAGATGGAAATAATGTGATTTTCTTACCCACTGAGCATGCTGTACCTGGTGAGCTTGATGGCTTCTCAGAGGCAAAATTAGAAGTCTCAGCTGTGCTGTGGCCCATCTTCTCCTGATAAACGCTGACTAGAGCCATATTTTAGTCTTCAGTTGCTGAATTGCATTGTACATCTTAGAGATGCATTATAGAATAGCTCGCTTATTAAAAATCTACATGCAAGCTATAACAATAGGCCAGCAGCTTAGCATCTGAGTGAGCAATATAGCTTTAAAATTATAACACAATAGTTCAATGAAATTTGCAATGATGATATTAATGATGATTAACTTTTTAACTTCTAAATTTAGAATAACTAAAGTAATCTAACCTTGTAACTCTCCAGGACCTGCACGATATTGACACCCAATAAAACTGAAACTGAAAAATATTTTCTACCTGGAATGTCGTCACTTCCGTCAAGCTTTTTAACCAGTTGCTTGAACCCCTGCTTTTCCACCGTTTGATATCTGGGCTTGTCTCATTGTTGTGCACATTAGGGAATGTAAAAGCATGATATCACAGTAGGACTCTTGCAGCTGCACATATATGTAACAGAAACAGTCTGTAGTAGTTGAGTGAGTAAGGTTAATTGTGACATTTTCAACATCAGCTTGGTGCAGGAACACAATTAGGAAGAACCATGTGGGGGATGCTGGGATTGGGCGCTTTTGGGTTCCAGCTCCAGGAAGTTCCAGGTGACAGACGGATTGTCACCACCACCCGTTCCCATAGCAACAAGCTGGTAACAGACTGTGTGGATGCCATGGAGCCTCACGAAGTTGTACGAGTGGGTGGTGCTGGAAATAAGGTAAGATGGATCTAAAATTTTCTTCTGACAGTGGTAACAACTCTGTGTACTTGTTCGGGCAGGGTTTTTTAAAACTTATCAACATTATCTTTAATTTCAGAGATCATCAAGACAGAAAAACTGCACGTATAGAATGAACAGTCAGTTGATTGATTCCCCGTGTGCCATCACAAGCTTTGAATCCACAGGTTCTGTTAAAGTAGGGTCCTGTGCTCTTCTTATGCTATCATAGGGCTTTGTCTGCAGGCATACCTCACATAATCTACCAAATGCACCCTTCATGCATTTATATCCCACTACTCCATGGCTTTATTTTATGTATCGTCCTGGAGTTTGTGCTTTGTTTAGTTTATTGGTTATCAGCTCTCTCTGCTCTTCTTTCCTCTCACCCCAACCGGCGTTCTCTTTATATTAAAAGATTGCCAGTATTGCAAAGTAGCATTCATAGAAGATTGTTGTAAATGTGGTTTTCTCTCTATTGTTGCAGGCTCTTTGCTTTAGTTTAGCACCCCATTATGAAGGTGGTGAAGGTTGTTACTATATAAATAATAAAAGAAAGATGTAAATCAATATAAAAAAAGTGCTAACAAATTGAACTCACTTTTTTGCATTAGTGACCAATGAATTATGAAGCAGTGAGATTTTTCTTTTACATTATTAAAATTAAAACTTGGAAAAGTGAATGCTTTTGTCTAGTTACAGTGGGGCAAAAAAGTATTTAGTCAGCCACCGATTGTGCAAGTTCCCCCACTTAAAATGATGACAGAGGTCAGTAATTTGCACCAGAGGTACACTTCAACTGTGAGAGACAGAATGTGAAAAAAAAATCCATGAATTCACATGGTAGGATTTGTAAAGAATTTATTCGTAAATCAGGGTGGAAAATAAGTATTTGGTCACCTCAAACAAGGAAAATCTCTGGCTCTCACAGACCTGTAACGTCTTCTGTAAGAAGCTTTTCTGTCCCCCACTCGTTACCTGTATGAATGGCACCTGTTTGAACTCATCATCTGTATAAAAGACACCTGTCCACAGCCTCAAACAGTCAGACTCCAAACTCCGCCATGGCCAAGACCAAAGAGCTTTCGAAGGACACCAGGAAAAGTATTGTAGACCTGCACCAGACTGGGAAGAGTGAATCTACAATAGGCAAGCAGCTTGGTGTGAAAAAATCAACTGTGGGAGCAATCATCAGAAAATGGAAGACATACAAGACCACTGATAATCTCCCTCGATCTGGGGCTCCACGCAAGATCTCATCCCGTGGGGTCAAAATGATCATGAGAACGGTGAGCAAAGATCCCAGAACCACACGGGGGGACCTGGTGAATGACCTGCAGAGAGCTGGGACCAAAGTAACAAAGGTCACCATCAGTAACACACTACAACGGCAAGGAATCAAATCCCGCAGTGCCAGACGTGTTCCGCTGCTGAAGCCAGTGCATGTTCAGGCCCGTCTGAAGTTTGCCAGAGAGCACATGGATGATACAGCAGAGGATTGGGAGAATGTCATGTGGTCAGATGAAACCAAAGTAGAACTTTTTGGTATAAACTCAACTCGTCGTGTTTGGAGGAAGAAGAATACTGAGTTGCATCCCAAGAACACCATACCTACTGTGAAGCATGGGGGTGGAAACATCATGCTATGGGGCTGTTTTTCTGCCAAGGGGACAGGACGACTGATCCGTGTTAAGGACAGAATGAATGGGGCCATGTATCGTGAGATTTTGAGCCAAAACCTCCTTCCATCAGTGAGAACTTTGAAGATGAAACGAGGCTGGGTCTTCCAACATGACAATGATCCAAAACACACCGCCCGGGCAACAAAGGAGTGGCTCCATAAGAAGCATTTGAAAGTCCTGGAGTGGCCTAGCCAGTCTCCAGACCTCAACTCCATAGAAAATCTGTGGCGGGAGTTGAAAGTCCGTGTTGCTCGGCGACAGCCCCAAAACATCACTGCTCTCGAGAAGATCTGCATGGAGGAATGGGCCAAAATACCAGCTACTGTGTGTGCAAACCTGGGGCCTGTTCTTCGTACCTCGCTAAGTAAGTTAGCTGGATTAGATTGTTGACGATTTTGCGTGATCCTGGATCGTTCGGTTCCCCGAAGCTCATCCGGGACTTGCTGTCATAGCAACAGAGCCGTAAGCGTAAACCTGCTCGGGAGCAGGTTTACTTTATGTAAACAGGATTAGATCGCGGCCACGCAGGTATGTCCGCTTCATTCATACGAAAGCAACAGCGATATTCCACCACTGTTTCACCATAAATAAATAACATCAATGTAACTAAAGATAATGCAGCACTTGATCCTTTTATTGATGTCACACAGATACATACAGGTCATTTCCTAAAAAAGGGAAATGTACTATTAACATTCTATTACATGTATGTGATTATTACAGATGTAATTCATATTTCAGAGTAGTAATTGTAAATTACTTCGTGTAATCAAGATGAGAGACCACGGCTATAAAAGCGAAGGTGGATTTGGGAAGTCTGTCGCAGCCATGTCCTGTCCGTATACGCGACCAACCCATTGCGGAAGGTGCAAGATTGATAAGGAGAGTCCTCAGAATTCAGCGTATATTGCGGGATAGACAGGATCCTTTAGCTCAGCGCGACAGTGTGCTCATTGAGAGATATCGATATTCCCGTGAGGGTATTATTTACTTAACCAACTTGTTGACGAGGGGGTGCAGGACCACCACCTGTCTTTTTTTCCTCTGCCCTTTTCTTGGTTGCTGTTATGAACAAACTAACAGAGTATTACAGGCCAGTATTACCTTGCCAAGAGACGAAAAGCAATCTAAGAGATAAATATTACCATTCTGTAGAATACTCCTGTATTCCACTTTTACTTGTTCCCATGTTCTTGTGGGTCCTGTTGTGGCTCTAATGTGAAAGGGGATATAATATAACATATTATAATATAATATAATGCCATATGATATTGGACAATATAGTGTCATATGATAGATCTACCCTACCGCCTACTGGTGTTGGCCAGAGGGGCCGATGGCGCGATATGGCAGCCTGGCTACAACCGTAGCTGCCTCCACCAGTGTGTGAATGTGGGAGTGAATGAATAGTGGTATCGTACAGCGCTTTGGGTGCCTTGGAAAGCGCTATATAAACCCAATCCATTATTATTATTATTATTAAATTACCTACGAGTTTGATTTGTCAGCAACTTTCTGCCAGCCCTCTCTCCTTGCTTTTTCAGCCTTTGCAGTGTTCTCTTGCGTTTTCATTAAACTCTGAAACTCCTGAAATCCCTCACTCATGAGTTCTTGCTCTGCTGCCGGAAAATACCGAGCGCGCTCCTTCGACATTTTCGCGACCAATCAGCGGGTTGCCGATCAATGTTTCTACTATTGATGCGTAGCCCCTTTTACGACACCCAGTGATGTCACATTACTGTGTCCAGCTGTACTAATCGTCAACAGCAGGTGTGTTCGGGGAACCGGATTAGCGAGCTCACGGTTAGCGCGATGGTTTGGTCTTGGATGTGTCATTTGATCTTGGATGTAGTAAGCGACGTACGAAGAACAGGCCCTGGTAAAGACCTATAGTAAACGTTTGACCTCTGTTATTGCCAACAAAGGTTATGTTACAAAGTATTGAGTTGTATTTTTGTTATTGACCAAATACTTATTTTCCACCCTGATTTACGAATAAATTCTTTACAAATCCTACCATGTGGATTCATGGATTTTTTTTTTTCACATTCTGTCTCTCACAGTTGAAGTGTACCTCTGGTGCAAATTACTGACCTCTGTCATCATTTTAAGTGGGGAAACTTGCACAATCGGTGGCTGACTAAATACTTTTTTGCCCCACTGTACATAGATAAATTCTACACAGAGAGACTGAACGTACATTTTTCTGTCCGTGCTTCTCTACCTGCAGATTATCCAGCTTGTTGAAGGAAAAGCTTCTGCCTATGTCTTTGCTAGTCCAGGGTGCAAGAAGTGGGACACTTGTGCCCCTGAAGCAATCCTGCATGCTGTTGGAGGTGAAAACGTTTAATCATATAGCAACATAATGTCATGTATAGACACTGTTTTTTTTAGGGTTTAAACCACTTTCTAAAATCGTTTCCCAAATATTTCCTGATCATCTCTTTTTCTAATGCAGGTAAACTGACTGATATGCATGGAAATGCATACCGCTATGATGCTAGTGTAAAGCACATGAACTCTGCCGGGGTTCTTGCTACACTCCGTAACCACAAGTACTACGTCAGCAGAGTACCACAGTCAGTGCTGCAAGCTCTCAAGTCAGACTGAGGTCTGTCTTTATGTTGTCAAAACATACAGTGTAAAATCACTGTTTTGTTTTTTTATTAACCACATTATTTGACTGGTGTATCTAATTTTTAAATGTAACTAGTAACAGCAGTATTGAGGGTATTCTGTGTTCCTGTGCCTAAAACAAATCACCGTGATTTCTGAGTGTCAGCAGACTAACCAAACTACCACTATGATCTGCACTAATTTAATGAATCAGACACAAGTATTAAAGCAGGCTTAACAGCACTTCCATTTATTTCACTCATTTGAAACAAACTTGTACAAATCTCAGAACATCTTAACATACGGTTTCTCAACTTGAAGACCAATAGATTTACAAGGCAAAAGGCAAGATCTGAAGGTTAAATGTTGGTTAGTGAGTTGGAAATGATGTACTGTACTTGATTCGGTAACCACAAAGTCGGAACAGTCTATACGTAATGCAATGCCAACAACAAACAAAATGCAGGCATCTTGACTTGATACATTTTACCCTCTTTTTACACACAGTAACAGAAAATGCATTCTGGACAGTGAAAGAGGGCAATGGTCAAACCCCACTGCTGTGAAGAACAAACATACAACTGAGCTGTGAACACTAAAAATAAACTGACAACGACTAGTTAATCCTGTATTTGAAACCTCGTCTTGTATCTAACAAGATGCCGTGTTCTTCATTTTCTTACCTTCTATTTCTCTTTTTTCACACTGGCACATCTGTCTACTTTTCTACACATTTACTGTATTTATCAGACTAAAGGACACACACTCAAAGTGCTCTCTGAGCGGTGTGGGTCCATGATGTCTGGATTTTTACTTCAGAAGCAAAAAAGGAACCATTTACAATGTTGCTTTATCGATATTTTATACCAACAATGGAAACACCCACTAATGCTTGTTCAGTGATGTGAGGGATTAAAAATGTACACAGTACAGTATGAGTTGTGGAAAAATGGACTTGAAACACTACGAGGAGCATCGGCTTTATACAAATGCCCAACTAAAGATTTAGCACAAGTTGGCATCTTTTTGAAATTAAGAGGCTTTAATAGCCCTCTCACATAATTGTGCTTGCATACAGCAAAATTTCTAGCAATGTTTATTGCACTAACATCATAAAAGTCTCTGGATTTTATTGGCATCTCCATAGGAAGAAAACATTCTTGAGTCGTGAGAAAAGTCTTAGCTGTCACATTTAAAGATAAAATTCAACATTATGGGAAATATGCTTTGGCCGTACCTGCTAAGTGTGAAATTCATGGTGAATTGATTAACGGTTCGTTTGTTGTGTTGTTTGGGACTGTAGGTACAGCTAACAGAGCTTAGCATAAAGACTGGAATCAAGTGTCTAGCATGACTAGCAGAGATCAAATACAACAAAATCAACATATCAGCACCTCCAAAGCCCAATAATATTAACAAGAACGTTAACAATATTTGGTTTATCTGGACGAACAAAAAAAAAAAACCCACACTAATTTTAAAGGCGTTCTTTGAGTCAACTTTAATGCTGTACACCATACTTATATAGTATGTGAATTTTAAGAAGGTAGTCCAAATTTGATTGCAATCAAATTCAAATTTAATTTGTGAATAAACCTAAAAAAAAAACAAAATAGTACTCGAGGAGCTAAATCTAACAATCGACCTGGTAGATACTTTGCTCATGCTACCCTGCAGCTCAGTCTCACTGCAAAACCTGAAGGAGTAGACAAACGACTAATTGTGAACACAAATTGTCCTTTTTGTTGACACTTACCCCAGCACTGAATTTAATGCACTTCAGTTGGAAGTACCTCTTGTGCCCACATGCGCTGCTTTAAAACATTTGCTACAACATTTGGGGCGATCGTGGCTCGAGAGTTGGGAGTTCGCCTTGTAATTGGAAGGTTGCCGGTTCGAGCCCCGGCTTGGACAGTCTCGATCGTTGTTTCCTTGGGCAAGACACTTCACCCGTTGCCTACTGGTGGTGGTCAGAGGGCCCGGTGGTGCCAGTGTCCGGCAGCCTCGCCTCTGTCAGTGCGCCCCAGGGTGGCTGTGGCTACAATGTAGCTTGCCATCGCCAGTGTGTGTGAATGGGTGGATGACTGGATATGTAAAGCGCTTTGGGGTCCTTAGGGACTAGTAAAGCGCTATATAAATACAGGCCATTTACCATTTACACCTGTTTAAACCCAACCCATGATCTTTTCCTAAATCTAACCAAATATTTTTGCTGCCTAAACCAAACCAACACCTAAAAGCACAACTAAAGCCTCAAAGTATCAATTAGGAAAACTTAAAATTGTTAGTCCTGAGTGTCTCCAGAGTCTTTTGCACTTTCAGACTGGAAGCACAACAATTTGTGTCTTAATTAATGGATCTGTGCTCATGGCACATCTGTTTTGCAAACTAACACCCGTGATGGTGGGAAATGCACTAATGCAACAAACAACCATTCCTTGAGAGCACATCCATACTTTTGAAAGCGTGACAGGTATTGAGATGCAATGTGTCCTTAACAAGAGATCTGTCAATTTAAGTTTTATACTGGGAAGTCTGAAGAGTGATTTCAGGCCCTTGTGCTAAGCTATGAAAGCCATATTTAACAGGTGAGAAGTCTTACCTGATAGTTTGCAGGAACACAAAGGAGCATATTTCCCAAAATGTTTAACGATTTAACCAGTGTAATACTTGAGATAACACAGTGGGAATCGAGATGAGACTGGAATTATTCGGACCTGTAGGCTGGGAGAGTGCTGATTTTACACATTGCTTAAACAAAGAGCTCATCTCAATCACACAAGCGTGCATGCATTTACAAAACCACGATTTTTTTTTTTTTTTTTTTAAATCTGAAGGCAAAGAAGCATCTCGCCCATTTCGAAAAAAGGTTGGTGTTAATATTCCTGAATGAGCTGAGTAAATACATACTGTAGCATTAAAAAAGAAAAATCACTCACATATTCATAAAAATACCCACAGAACAAGCAAAACAAAAAACCCTCTCTTTGAGTTTTTATTTACACATGAATAAACTGACTGAGAAGGCTGGAGTGTTTGAGGCAGCCTGCAGGGATGTGGGCCAAAGCCCAGCCAGAGGAGGAGCAGGAGAGTCGGGGCCAGCTGCTCACCTCTTTTTAGGTGCCTGAGTGGTACGAGGTGGGGTGACAGGGCGTCCTGAATTCACCCCTCCATACTGATACTTAGCTTTTTTCTCTGACGGCTTCAGGATCTGAAAAGAACAGATAGCAGTGTTGACATAAGCCTACAGAGGATTTAAGGGAGATTTAATGTGCCATCAAAATTAACACGCTCTACCTGAAAAGAACACATGAGTGATTCGTCCACGCTCATCATGCCGCCTGCATTGTCAAACTCCCCACAGTAATTGGGAGCAGAAAACAGGGTCACCAGCTGCCGCTTTGCAAAGAACTCATAACCGTCCTCAACAACCTGTGGTGTGGCAGGATTAATACAAGATGACTGACTGAAAATTAACTGGCACCTATTTTGGTAATAAATTCAATTCAGTTATTTTTAAGGCTTGTTTTTTTTTTAAAGATTGTTTTGGTAGCTTAATGTTCCACTCAGTAAGCCAAAAATACTTTCTACTTGGTGGTTGTAAGTCATTCAAGAATATTTAGGGAACATGTTTTGCATACAAAATGATCAGCTCTGTTTTCACTTTCGAGCTGTAATAAATAAAAATGATTTAATTCAATTAAAACTGACCAAACTTGTTTTCATTAACAAATGGAAGTTTAATTATCAGCTGAGCCATTTTAATACAGTTGTATGTCATCAAGTAGCTTGAGTGTTACCTGATGTGCTCGACAGATGAGGTCCAAGTCGTGGCGGTTGAGGAACTTGCTGACCACATCAGCCCCAAAGGTGAAGGAGACGCCCCGATCATTTTCACCCCAGCCCTGGACATCTTTGTCTGGATCAGACCACAGCAGGTCGCACAGCAAGCCTGGAATGTGGCACATTTAGGTCAGCAGTGCAGTCGAGTTGAGCAGTTACCCACCGACAAGTGCCTATTTTTGTAAACTTCTACATGTAATTGTGTGTTTAAAAAACCTGACATTTCACCTGTTGGTTAGTGAAACTGTTGTGAAGACTTGTTTCTGAGCGACATCTTGGTGTTTTAAATCCAAACTTGTCACCATGCACTGATACAGTAGAGACTTGTCAGTCACAAGTCAGGCTCACCCTAAACCGTACATAACTGAAACTAGTCAGCAAGACCATAACCTCATCACAAAAGTGTTTATGGTACCATCCAGCAAAGTCGACCTCAAATTGACATTACTAGTTGATTTGAGCAGCACAGCCCTCCAGCTGCTGAAGCTGGAATAAGACACTTTTTGTAAAAAAAAAAAAAAGGAAAAAAAAAAGGTTTTAAAATTTCTGGTTTTGACTTGTCCTCTCATATATCAGTGCTGATGTGGCGGTAGCTACGTGTACCGTGACAGTGACCATAAATGGGCGTGGCTATGTGATGGAATTACCAGAAGTGATGGGTATGGTCACCCTGACTGGCCATTGTAAAAATTCAGTCTAAATGGGGGTTCAAAATGGAACAACTAACAGCGATATGGAAAGCAAAGATCCAGGAATGCCATTAACAGTCAGATGCTTCAAATGACAACAGATGAAAAAACTTAAGGACATGAAGTGGACCACTGCTGAGTTACATTTTTCCTCATCTCTGAGGTGAGTGATCTAAACAGCTCTGAGTGGGAACAAAGAAAGTGCTGACTGACATAAGGGGGTGGTAAAAACATGAGAGTTACCTAGACAACCAGAGCCTAAAATGTCCTGTAATGAGCATCTGTCAGCTACAAAGCAAGGCACCATGAGCAAATCGTTTCATATCTGGATGGGGCTTAAGGCACTATGACAATGGCTTTACTCTTTAAACCTCAAAGCTATGTCCATCCTTTATATACAGTCTACATGCTAAAGCAGTAGGTGGCAATGTATTCATAATTTTACACAGTGGGAAATGACCACAGATATATATGATGATCTTCATGAATCTATTAACTTAAACACAGACCTGTGTCTGGGACATCAGTGGGTCTCATAATACGTCGGATTTGTTCCATGGACTGCAGATCAGGTGACAGTCCTGAGCAAAAGAAGACAGTATTTACTACATGCATCAGTAAAAAATTTAGACATGACAAAAACAAAGTTGACTAATGTCATGAATTACCAAGTATTTACTGTAGTTAGTAAAATATGTTAAGTTAATGCAATAGTAACAAGATATATTACTAGCTGAGCCCTCAAATGCATTTAAATATCTAAGAATGATAAATGGAGTAATTCTATATGATCACTCACTGCCTATTTAGAGGCACACTTTTAATTCACGGAGACAAATTATTCAGCCGTACTTTGTTACCTCCCACATAACAGATGTTTCACAAACCTCCGTGACAGCAGAAAATCTTCTCATCAATAATCGCAGCAATGGGCAGACAGTTAAAACAGTCTGTGAATGTCTTCCAGAGCTTTATGTTGAACCTGCGTTTGCCTGAGGAAAATTTAACCAAAAACAATTTCCAATTCAGGTGTGTTATTTTACATCCATGAAAACCTCCGTTATCTCACAACCAGAAATGTTCACTTTTCACATTTTTAGCTTTCAGAAAATTCAATATGTGTTTTGAAGTTTAATCATTATCAGATTACTTTAATAATCATGAGTTGTATTCTCTAGTGCAGTAAGCACTAGAGAATGTTAAGGATTAAATCCAATGTTGATCAAACATTTTTGTCTTTTACACATAATTTATTGCCATAGTGCTTATTTCCATTGAATAACAGAAAGAGAAAGGAAAATAGTTCTTCAGTTTGTATCGATACAAACCACAGAAGCAGCTAATCTTTACATCTATGAAACTGTAACCATCAAGTTAAATTAACAGAATTTAAATCTAACAGTATTCAGATGCAGGCAAGCACTGATTTTTCAACTTACATTCGTCATAGAAGCCGTAGATGCGATTGATGGAGGCACACTCGTGGTTCCCTCTGAGCAAGAAGAAGTTTTCTGGATATTTGATCTTGTAAGCGAGAAGAAGGCAAATGGTCTCTAATGACTGCTTCCCTCTATCCACGTAATCTCCCAGGAACAGATAGTTGGCCTCTGGCGGAAAACCTCCATACTCGAATAGCCTTAACAAGTCTGTGTACTGCCCATGGATATCACCTGAAATTAAAATTTTTACCTACAGTTTATTGATCTCATGTGATTATACAGATATATTTGAAAAAGAATGGCATATTTATAAACATATTTATAAAATGTGTAGTAAAATATTAAGCTCAACTGTATCAAATGCTGCACTGAGATCAAGCAGGACAAGCACACAGGTAAGTGCAGTGTCAGAGGCAATAAGGCAGTTATTCATAATCTTCACTAATGCAGTTTCTGTGCTACAGTGAACTACTGTGAATCTAAATATGGTTAACCTGGAGCAAAAATAACAGCATTGTGGGGTGGACTGTCTTGCTGTGAAGGGACTTAAAACATATAAGACAAATCCAAGTGGATTTTTGCTCAATTCAACCCATAAGCATTGTAAATGTAGTGAACAAATAAAAACAATGTATATAAATGCCCTCTGGGGATATAGGTGGGTTCTCACCACAGATTTTGAGTGGAGCCTCAAGTTCAAGAAGAATTGGCTGACTGAGGAAAATCTCTCTGGACTTGATGCAGAGCCCCCGCACCTCAGCCTCTGTCATCTGTACGATCTTCCCTGGACGGCATCCTCGCACTACAAGGTAAAAAGTAACACACATATCATTATTGTGATTAAAACAGAAAAAGAAAAACATTTCATTCATATCACCAATTCCCAAAACATTTATATTAAACAAAACTATTAATTAAAAAAAATAGTATGTTCAAGTCACAAGTTTTGTCTTTTATTTACATTTGCACCACAGATGAAAGAAATCTGATCACCAAGTTTTGCTTTGCTACTGGCCAAATATGCCATTTACTCCAGTCAACATGGGTTGTTATGAACTGGCAAGATCAGGAATGAACAGCTTGTTGGCTCAGTTGGAAGTTTATGAGTGAGTGAGCGCAGGCGGTCTAGTCTAGAGGGCAGATTAATGTATGAAGAAAAAAAAACAAGGTTGTTTAGAAATGTGGTAGCGCTAGCCAAAGCTGAAAGCTTACTCACAAATGTTATTGAAAAACTGACAGTAGGTACAAGTTGCACATTAAACCCATAATGGTAACCACAGATTAAAAACAATAAAGATTTGTAATAAATTAGCATGATGCTGATTTTTAATTACAGTGGAGTTCTAGTAATGTTAAATACTATCATTCTTCCTGCAGATGTTAAATGCACAAATTTCAGTATGTGCAGAACAAATACATCCAAAATTAGTTCATGACATGCATTAAAGTAGATGGAATTGAAGGATTTAATAAATTTTGAAGTGTAAAGACAGTAACAATGATTTTGCATATCATTGGTTTTTCCATAACCACAAAGTGCATCTGCCAATAAGCAGGATGTTTAACCAGATATTATTTATTGTTTTCCGTATACCATTCTTTATTTGGTTTCAGGCAAGCAACAACAAAAATAATACTGAATTGTTATGAGCAAATGAAAAGATTAGGGTGAAAGGTAAAAGAAGTTCACTTCACTTTTACTTACACTGATGGATGTGGGGTTTATTTAAACTACTTTATAATTCTGGGTATCATACGCAGGTTTTTTTTTCAGCTTTTAGAAATTGGACCAAAAATACAATTAAATTTTAAGTTTTGTTTATTTTGTTTTCATTTAAGACACTTTTTTAATCAATCGAATACGTCATTTTTATTGATACATTTCATTTATTTTAGCTCTTAAATTATGCATTGTACAGCAACTAATAACTCAAGATTCTCGTTTTCTTAAATGTTATGGAATTGCTTTATTTAAAAGTATCAGGTACTGTGGGAAATACTAATACCTCAGAACAGTACTAGTGGACTGAGTTGATTCCCACCCCAGGTACAGCCTAGGGAATACACTGGTTTACTGTTTAAATTAGCAAAGGCTCATTAGCCGTGCAGGCTTTAGTGATCCCCTACGTAAAGGGGGTGTGTCCGCAGAGGTAGCCGACTTAGTTACCTGCCTTGGGAACGAGAACAATTAGTGTTACTAAGAAACCATAAAATTTCACAGTTCTTCCCGTTCCCCAACATAAGAAAAATATTAACCAGCACCCACTACAACAAAAGAGGTGCTGTTAAACCCTCAACTTATATGACTACTTAATTTAATTAGCTTTCACTATCCCTATCGGGCAACAGCAAGCCAATTTGACATCACTCTTATTTTCCACACAATCTCAAAACTAGCATTAACCAGCAATAACGAACAGATAGAGTGATGCCACACTATTTGGGTCGAACGTTTACCATAGCTTTTTAACGCGGCGGTTAGCTTAAGGCTTGATGCCGATGAAAAACAGACAGCTAAGGATGCGATGGCGAAATGCTTTCGAAACATGTCGTGAAGTTCCTGGTTACAAACAAGAACCTCCAGATAGCCTTTTTCTCCTCCCCGAATAAATTTACATAAAGACGCTAGATCACAAATGCTAACCTACCTTCCAGTAATCTAGAGATGAGGCTGTCAACGTTCAACTCGCTTTCCGCCATGTTTCTGATGCTCACACAGGCAGGTTAATGGACAACACTGGCCCTGAGTGATGACTTGTAGGCTCGATGAGTGGACAAGCTCACTCAAGTAAAATCACACTTAAATGTACAAAAGTACGGAAGCTATGGATATAAAATAAGGCAAGAGAGCATTATCAAGACACAGTATCGACGAACAGAGGTATTATAGCTTTCGATTTTTTATTTGTTTATTTATTCTGGGGGGGGTGTTTGTTTTTGTTTTTCATTCAGTTTAGTTTGCCCCAACTCATTTGTTAAGTCTTTACTTTTGTAAAGCTTCACTTCGCTGTTTGCTTCATCAATAAGGGGATTTAAGACGTTCAGAACAGTCCAGTAATGCAGTACAAGCACTTGACTCAGAGTCTTAAAAAGTATTTAAATGAAGAGGTTAGGAAAAGAAAAAAGGGGGAAGAAAAATGGGATACAGAGATGAAGAAAGTAGACAGGAGTGCTGGGAGGCCTACCTACCCTCCCCTTTTTTAGATTAAAATCCGCCACATATAAACCTTATCCTTATTGAACTAATATAATTGAAATCAATTGAAATTGAATCAGTCATCAACTACTTCACAATTTCAAATGCACCATATACATTTAGCATAATTAAATTAAAAGTTTAATAATGTTATTTTATACTGCACAAGCTACAGGTAGTGACGTTGTGCTAATGCTAGGTAGCATTTTGCAGGGCATTTTTATTGTTACTTTATGTTTATCTTTTATATGCCAGAATATATTTACAAATCCAACAACCCTGTGAACTTAAACACATTGATACAAAAGCTTTATGAAATGCTGGGTTTGCAAAGGAAATACTTTTACTATGGTTAGACTCCTTTAACTCAGTTGAATGCTCACCCTTTCAGGCGTACAACTGAACACACTCATTTCACTGTGAGCACTAAAGAAGCAGGAAAGACAAAGATGGAGCCTGATGATTCACGACGTTGTGAGGAGCAGGATTTTGAATTTAATTCTGAATTTAACAGGGAGCCAATATAGGAGAAATTCACACACCTGGTTCAAATTTTGCATTCAATTATACAGTATATAGACTTAATGTACCTCCCCTGGTATCTAAATGACTCCAGCTCTATCTTTTTATGCTATGAAAATGCCTGTAAGCAGTGCGATCTGGATGAGGGTCATTTTAATAGAATTTAATTTAATTTATTTTTATTTAGAAAGAGGGACAATACATATTAATGAACATTTTAACAAATGTAAATATGCCAGATTATAGGCTTGGGCTCATTTCCATCTGCAGACTCTCTGGCAGGTTGGTGTTACAGATAAATTAGTAAAAACATACAAAGACACTATTTACAGATCATGTGACAAGGATTTAAACAGTGATTACATCATATTAGAACAAACAATGACAAGAGGAGTGGACAACAGAGGACAATATAGATAACAGTAAAGGAAACACCTCAATTATATTGCACAAACCCCAGTATTACACATGCCCTGACTGTCCTGATATTGCACTGACCCATTACACTAATAGTTTTTTCCCTTTTTGTAAACTAAACTAAACTAAAAAACATTGATACGGTCTTTTTAACGTTAAGGCACAGGCATGAGTCATTCAGCCATTTTTAAAATAATGTAATGCCAATGAAAGCTGATGGGCTGCATCATCAGCAGTTTTGGCTTGTGTAAAAATTACCGTATCATCAGCATATATAATTGTGTCCACATTTTGCACACATTGGGCAAGTCATTTAATTAAAGTGAAAATAACAGGGGGCCTAGAATTTAACCCTGAGGGACACCTTGCATACAGTAAAGATAGGGTGAATTACTATTCTTTATTTGTATGCATTTTTTTCTATCGGATAGATAAGACCGTATCCATTTAATGGTGTGATTACTAAAGTTAAATGTTTACAGCTAGATGGAGAGATTGTGGGGAGCTATGATAAGGATGAAAAGCGGCAAACCTGTGGAGGTATCGAGATGTCTGAGAGAGAAGGCAGTGGAGGAATCTCAACTTTTGTCTGATTGTTGTTTTCTATCCGCTTTTCTCTGTTTTTGTCCTTAAATTGTATTAATGCATCTTTCAGCACATGGTGTGAAGTCATAATATTTGTCTCAGATGTGAAAGGGGACTGTCCAAAGTGATTAGAGAAAATAAGTCACTTTCCCCTGGGAGAAACTCTTCATCATAGTTTATTCAAGTCTTTTATTGAGAAAATTCCATCAAAGAAAAGAAAAAGATGTGATTTCCATAAACAAATCCAATAAATAATGTTTATCTATGTGATATAGACATACTATACATTATCAATATGTTCCAGTTCACCTTCTTAGTTTTCCATGTGTGCAACATTTGCTTACTGACATTAATGAGTAAGGTGGGAGTCACATTACATTTTCTTAATTTGCCCAATTGAGCGCTTTCTGAGATGCAGCCAGAAATGAGTGATCTTCAAAGTTACTCCAGTTCACCCTGAGAGTAGCATGATAATGAATAACAGTATGACAATACTGATAAGCTGAGCAACTTCATTATATAAATCCAAACCACAAATATCAAATTGCTGCTGGGTGCTATGAAAAGGTTAGAGGGATCACCAGAGCCAGTGGGATTTCTTCTCTAGAGAATATTTGCATATTTATACAAAGTTAATGCTTCACTTGTTGGACAAAAAAACTACTAGAAGATTTAAAAACACTAAATTCAACTCTGTTTTAAACAAATGAATCAAACCGCACTCAAATACTGTAGCATTTTTATTTCATCAATAAATAAAAATGGGTATGATGAGAGTGAAATGTACAAACTGTCAGGATTCATACATTTATTTAATTATGAATAGTTCAAAATGTCTGTGCAATACAAAGTAATTACAAACATTTCACACACCTGCTAGCACTTTTAAAGAACATTTTAATAGTAAAATTAAATATTTGAGAGATGGCTTCAAACCTAAATTCCATCATGAAGTCTTGTCCAGATTTCAGCTCACTGATTTGATTCTTGACACGATTTTAGACAACATTAAAAAGCTGTTCCTTTCATTTCAAGCTCTTTTCTCTCTGCCTTGCTTTTGCGCCGATGACCGAGAGACAGAATTATCCAACAGGCAGCAAAACCCACCACTAAACCTACAATTCCCACAAGGACAGGCACCCACACAGGGGTGGAGGAGGGACAGTTGAGCACAGGGGCTGTTAACGCAGAGCTGGAACTGTGGGTGGAGTCTGTAAATGGAGTAGGTGTGGTTCCTGATGGACTTGGAAGACTGTTGATCTTTGTGAAGATAAACGGACTGGCCTATGGGAAAGATAAAATGGTTAAAAGCTCAAGAGCTGTCTATATGTAAGAATTTCTGAACTTTAGAGAAACACTGGAAATAAAAATTAATTTTGGGTGACATTGTGGAATAATCCACTAGATTTTTAAAATCGTTTGACATATTGTGAAATATTTTCTCCTATTCATCTTCACATGTCCATATTGGCATGATAGCATCACACAGTTGCTGCAGAATTTGTCGACTGCACGTCCATGTTAAAAAAAAAATCTCATTACACCACATCCCCAAGGTGTTCTTTTGGATTGAAATCTGCTGACTAGAGGCATTTGAGTACAGTAAACTCATTATCATGGTAAAAAAAACAAAAAAAACAACTTGAGATTATTTGAGCTCTGTCACATGGCACACTGTCCTGCTGGAAACAGCCATCAGAAGATGATTATACTGTTGTTATTAACAAAAAAAAAGGACATTGCTGTCAGGCTGTTTACACCAAGTTGTCCAGTTTTGGTGAATCAGTGGAAGTTGTAGCCTCAGTTTCCTGGTCTTAGCTGACAGGTGTGGCCCCTATATTTATATGTATATATATTTATAATATTTTTTGCTTTTTTTTATACTTTTGGTATTTTTTTTAAATAAAAAAACTCTTTTTGAAATCATAGATTGTAAGTGGAATTAAATTAACTAATTATTAAATAGTTGTAGCAACATGATTAGTAGAATTTCTCTAAAATCTTCCTAAATACCTCAGAAGGACAGTGAATTTTGGAGCGGTCATATGTGAAGTTGTTGTAGGCCTGCTTTCTCCCTATAGGCTCTAACTGTAAGAAAGAAAGAAAAAGAGTTGAAATCTTTAAAATGGCAAGCCAAAAGAAACGTTTGCACGGAGTTAATACTTTTTACTGAGTTAAAAGTTTGCATAGAGTATACCACCCTGCTTCAGTTTGGTTCATTATTTCCCGCAGCTCACCATGTTATTCCACAGACCAATGGCCATCTCAGCATGTGCTCGCTCACTGATGTGGAAACAGTCTACAGAGAAGAAACTTGTATCTGGCTCACCCTCCTGGTGAAAAAAATGAAAAAAGTACCAATATGGGTGCATTTGATAATTCGTGTTTGGTTTGTTTCTCAGTTACTCACTCCAATTTTAGGGATGAAGGAATTATGTAAAAATGGCTGAAGTACGACAGCAAAGTCTTCTTTTCCGTCATAGAGATCTCCAGATACAAGATACTGGAGCTCAGACTAAAGAAATATAACAGAAAGGATTTTTTTTTTAAATAAAGAAGTTATTGAAATGATTTTAAAACAAACGGCTTCCCGACCTGGTACTCGTGATTGATTCGTTTCATCTCCTCAAGCTCTGGAGACTTTTCTGATGGGTTGATGACACAGGGACAGCTGGTCCTGGAAAAAAATCCTTTTAATATTGTGTTTTATTGTCCTTAGAAGGAATAACATTATCAGCTGACCAATTGAAATATGGTAATACAGTCGAAATGATACAGTCAACGCAAACATCATCTCCGAACAATCTCATCTGTAAAACAAAGGAACATTTATTTGTTCACATTTGAAAAAGTGATTTACATGACATATGTAAAATCCCAGTTTCATTCTATGAAAAGGTCAGAAAAGACACGCACTAGAAAACCAACCTCTGGATTAGTGAGCAGCCCAGAGTGTTCCTCGTAACTGATTTCAACAGATTTATCTGCATGATCTCCACGACATTAACCAACAACCTCGGTACCTAAAGATACATGGAGAGAAATGTAACTTAGTTAAACTCATGATAACAGTATAGTTCACTATTTTAAATATAACCTACCTCTTTGTAAAGCATATCCAAGCTGATCTTAAGATTATGGCTGTAGT